ACAGAGGATAAACAATTCGTTAATAATGGCACCCCATGAACTTGATCAGTCGAAGGTCTTAGGAGGAGTTGGGAATATGAATAAATGGAATGGGCCAAATAATGAAAAGCCATACCTTGTCTTGGTCTTTTATATGCTCGCGTTTGAGAGAGAGGGTGAGCAGTGAGGGTGCTGTGGTGCCAACTGCCATCTTGTCTCAGCATTGAGGTGAACATACCAGGAGGGTGAATTCCATTCACTTACCTATCGCGAGGGGGAGTCTACACTCAGATCCAATTAGTTGTGGTCAGTTAAGAAAGCCAGAGCTCTTCATCTGTGTGTTTTTTTTTAAACTAAAAATCAAGATTTCTTTGAAATGCTCGTCTCCTAATTTTTATTTTGTTTTATTTTTGTTAATCCTCATCGAGGATATTTTTCCACTGGTTTTTAGAGAGTGGAAGGGAAGGGGAGTGACAGAGAGAAACATTTATGTGAGAGAGACACATCGATTGGTTGCCTCCTGTATATGCTCTGACCTGGGCTGGGGATTGAGACTGCAACTGAGGTACATGCCCTTGACTGGAATTAAACCCAGGACCCTTCAGTCCAAGGGCTGATGTTCTATCGATTGAGCCAAACCAGCCAGGGCCAGTCTCCCAATTTTTAAATACTTGCTTAAGATTTTAGGAAATACTGTGGTAAAATATCACATTTTACACCTTAATTATATACAATTTTTATTTGTCAATTATATCTCATAAGAGTTGGAAAAAACCACAATGGGGAAAAAATAGAATAGTGTTTTAATGGAGATAAATAAAAAAACAAACAAACACTGAGTAAAATAAAACGTGTCAGTGGGCTAGATTTGGGAAAAGGAGCTCCAATTTAGGACCCTTCCCCAAATTTATTATAGAATGTGGCAAAAGGGCCCAGACAGGGGCCTGGGCCGGCCTTGGACCCTCTTTTGAGGTGAGGAGACAGGCCCTCCCTGTGCAGGGATTCGGGCTGTAGTCTCTGTTGGGTGTCTGGGTCGAGTTGCTGAATCATTCTGGGACTTCTTTGATTCCTTCATAAAGTCAAAGGGTTTTTAGATTATCTTCCTTAGATATGTCAGGGGGTCCACAAGTGTTTGCTTTGCATTTCATTAAAAACATGGTCTTCCCTTCCAATTTGTCTGTGTTTAAAATGGAAATATGGCCCTGGCTGGTTTGGCTTAGTGGATAGAGTGTTGGCCTGCGGACTGAAGGGTCCCGGGTTCGATTCTGGTCAGGGGCACATGCCTGGGTTGTGGACTCGATCCCCAGTGTGTGTGTGTGTGCGCGCGCACGCAGGAGGTAGCCGATCAATGGTTCTCTCTCATCATTGGTGTTTCTGTCTCTCTCTCCCTCCCTCTCTGAAATCAATAAAAATATATATTAAAAAAAATAAAATGGAAATACGTGTTACAGCAAATTTAAATACATTGGAGAACACCAGTTTCTTAACTTGGCTATTTAGAAGCCAATGTAGTTCTGCTCTGGCCAATGTAGTTCAATTGTTGGGCATTGTCCCATGAACCAAAAGGTTACTGGTTCAATTCCCAGTCAGGACACATGCCAGGTTGTGGGCTCAATCTCCAGTAGGGAGTGTGCAGGAGGCGGGCAACTGATGCTCTGCTCTCATATAAATGGTTCTCCTTCTCTCTCCCTCCCTTCCTCTCTATCTAAAAAAAAAAATAAAAATAAAAAATCAATAAAAATATTTAAACAACAAAAACCAGAAATCTCTCTAAATATCAATAAAAATATTTAAAAAATTAGGTTACTTGAACTTTAAAATAAATATATTTTATTCAACTATGCATATGCATACATATACATTTATATATGTACAGACATGTATGGAATATAGAAATCTGTATATATAGTTCTTCCCGAGATTTGTTCTGAAAAATATTTCTGCTAAAAATACCCATGGAAACTTCTGGCCTGGGATTCCAAGGTCATCCTCAGTTCTGCATCTCAAGTTCACATAGCCTCACCAAAATAGCCCCTCTGGCAACTTTTTTCTCTGTGCGTTTGGAGGAGTTCATCATGCCTCCAAAGCTCGAAGAGGGAAGAGATGAGCCAGCTGGTGCTTTGCAGGGTGGTTGGTGCTCATCCCTTCAATCGAAGCCTCGCCCAGCTTTTGGAGGATGCAGGATTATGCCCACCCTTCTCCATGACTCCTTTTGATGACAGCATCACGTGGAGGGAGTCATTTATTTGCAAATGAGGTGGAGTAAGCCAGCCCATTTTCTCCTTGCTCTGCCCAGTGTCTTGTGCTGTGGGGAGCTTGCCATGCTGCCTGCTAGCCTTCCTGTCCCTTGCCTTTTGGATCCTAGGGTGGAAATGGATGCCAGGTGCTCAGGCCACCACACAATGTCACAATTGCCTTCTGGGAAGTTTCTGATAATGGCGTTTATGGCCTGGCTTCTGGGTTCAGTGGGAGAGCCCATTCTGTCTACTATGTTCCTGATCAATGATTTAACGCCCAGGGGCCAGTTTTATAGGGAGCTGTCGGATAATTTCACAAGGGAGATAAATGAGAGCTAGGAAGAATGACGGCCTTTCAGAATTGAAGCCTGTGTATGTTCCAAATCCCGTAAAAATGTTACTTGATTTAAAAAATTGCTTGAAGCGGTTCACATTTTGGTTAATTACGTCAGTGGGTAAAAATAACTATTGTCATATGGTGTGTGGGCTTGGTTTTAGAAGGATAAAGAGTCTATTGTTACCCATTGTGTTATGCAGTCACTTATTACCCATCTCTAAAAATTGATCATGTAGAATAGAAAGCCCGAAGTTTGCCACTAGCTGAAATCCAGGCTCCTCTGTGAATTTAGCCTCAAACTGCTCATTTTTAATTCGGTCTTTTTAAGTGGGTTGATCGAACTCATTCCCAAGGCCCATGCCAGGTGAGGGTTTGTGACAGGTGGCCCTGAACTCGCCTTTGGGTCCCATGGCCTCAGCTGAGATTTGTCCAGGGACGAACCAGCCTATTGCTTAAGGCCAGGGCTTCAGAGTCAGGGAGACCTGGGCTGTTACCTCATTAGTTGTAAGATGATGGGTCAGGAGCTTAACTTTTCTGGGGCTTAGTTTCTTCTGCAAAATGGGGATAAACACAGTTCCTGTTTCCTGGGATTGTTGGAAGACTTAAATGAGATGATATAACACCAGTAGTGCAGTGATTGGCCAATAGTTAGGGCTTAATTAATATAACAGGTAGAACCAAATAGCATTAAATTTCCACATGGAGTTGCTCTTCAGGTGGAGTTTTCTACCATTCTTCTATATATTACCTTCAAGACACCTGTCCCCCAAGCTCCCCAGGTCATTCTCGCACCCCCCGTTTTTAGCTGGTGGTTCTTGACTATCCACATTGCATGCTCATGCTCTTTGGCACCTACCCTAGGGCCTGGTGCAGTGCAGGCTCCAGGAAAGGCATGGATGGCAAGGGGCTCAGAGCTTGGAGAGCTCCTAGGGGCTGGAGTGGTCACAGAAGGTCATCAAATGAGTTAAGGGTGACAGCGTTGGAGGTTTGATGAGGCAGGAAGAGGCCTGCTAGGCTGGGAATGTAGGAACCTTGTCTTGCTCTTACCTTGTGGGATCTGTATTGCATGTACTAGTATCTTTGACTATTTTATAATTGATGAAACAGATAGCTTAATGAGACCCTCAAGCCCCACAGCTCACAAGTATTAGGCCAAGTTGAACCTGAAGCTCTTGATCACTGTGTTGGGCTGTACCTACCAGAGCCATGGTTCCTCAGCAGTGATGTGACATGAGCTCTGTGCCCTGGATCTTGCCTGTGGCCCTGCAGACCCCCACCTACCCATCTCCACCCTGCTCTGTCTAAGGGGGGAGCCTGATTTTTTCTACACCTTAGTTCCTACCTCCTGGGATTGTTGGGTGCTGGGTGCCCTTGGCGTCCAGCTTCCTGGCCAAACGCCCAGAAGGAGGACCCAGCTGGAGATGTGGGAGAGGAAGTCCTTGTCTTTACCATTGCTGCTGCCTCAGGATTTTTATTTTTAAATTTTATTGATTTTAGAGCGAGAGAGGAAGAGGGAAAGTGAAAAAAGAGAGAGAGAGAGAGAGAGAGAGAGATATCAATTTGTTATTCAACTTATTTATGCACTCATTGGTTGACCCATGTATGTGCCCTGACTGGTATTGAACCTGCAACCTTGGCGTATCGGGACAGCGCTCTAAGTAACCGAACTGCCCAGCCAGGGCTATCTCGGGATTCTTGCCGTCTCTTATTGGTTTCCCTTACCCCCACCCACACCCTTGTACACAGACCCTTTTGAATTTTCCACACTTACCCTGGTTGAGTGTGTCTGTCACCTGTCCTGCCAGGATCCTGATGAATACGGGCATATTTTAGAAAGCCTGATCTAGCCCTTTATTGGTTCTTGACTGTGCATTGAAGGGAGAGAGTAGGAGAGCGGCAGCCAGGTATGTGGATGAAGGAATAGGGCCTGGTTCTCACATTTGTTGTTACAGAGGGAGGTTTTGGCCTTCTGGATTCCAAGTGAGGAATTATAGATGGGGTCACTGCAATGCTCTGCCAGGACTGGAACAGAAATGTAGTGCAGCAGATATAACCCTGCTCTGTGTGTCCTGAGAGCATCAAAAAAAAATATGGAAATGGTCTGAGTTCTTATCAGCCCTAGGGTGAGTCTGATTCTGTTATTTAGGGTTGCATGTTATGAGGAGTTGGTTTAAGGTAGCCCCAGTATGGAAGTGGGAAGTCAAGGTGTGTTGGGCAGGAAAGCATTGTTAGGACATGGCCACTGAGTGCACCCAGGAAGGATGGAGGAGGGAGGAGTCAGAGGTTATTCTGATGTTTATAGATGGGAGACAGGTTTAATGGTGCAGTCATGCAGAGAGGGACTCAAAGGGAGGGATAGAGATTATGTATGGGTCCATTTGGGTGTGTTTGTAGGAGAATGTTTATATGTACAGGAGTTGGGGGTAGAATTTAGAAGTTTTGGGTAAATGCAGCTAGTGAGCTCCCTGTGGGTAGGTGTTGCGTAGGAAGAATCCAGTGTTCAGAGTGGACCACTGATGTGATGGCTACGGCTATGGCCGAATTGGGATGGCATCAAAGGCAGTGTTAATGGTTTTGTTTTCTCTGGGGTCGGATTTGGGGAACTACTGGTGGTTCCCGAGACGAGGAGAGAGAGCTCTGGCTCATCAGCATAACTAAAGGAGGTTGTGAAAAAGAACATACCTATCTAGGGGAGAGGGCAGCTATGGACAGGTTGGAGGACTCAACACCAAGGGTCAGCTCCTCAGAAAGGAGGAGGGAGAAGACTCTACTGTGTAGTGTTGGGCATTTTGGGGTACAGTTAATGCCCAGCCATCTGGTTGACCAATGGGTTTCTACTGTACCTGGGGTGTGTAAATAACCGAAATCCTTGGCAGAACTGAGAAACAGTCTCATACTCTTTTCTCATATGTTGGTATGTCTTCCTGCTAAGTCAGAGAGCTTTATCTCTCCCCCTCATCTCAGGATTTGCTCCTTTTACCCAGCTATGGGGGACTGCAGAAGCCTTGGGTCATCTGCAGATGACCTTGGGTGACTTTGTAGAGGAGTGGTAAGAAGGGAGGAGAAATATGAGTACTCCATCTCGGTCAGGTCAGCATCTTAGGAGAGAAGGCATTGGAGAAGGTTGACTAGAGTGGTTGGGGTCAAGACAGAGGACGTGGGTTCTGGTTTTGGTGCTTCCTCACCAGCTGTGTGTCCTTGGGTAAGCCACCTGCTGTCTCTGGGCCCCAATGCCCACCTCTGTAACTGAGTTGTTGACCAATTATTGAAATATTTTGGACATTATGAGTTTCAGATTGCTCACTGGTTTTGTTATTAGGATCTGAGCCTGGGTGTTGTCATTGGTAAAATGGGGGTGAAAATACCTTGTAGAGTTGCTGTGAAGTTTGAAAGGTGATGATGATAGCAATAGCAGCTGCATAGGTGGTTTAATTTCATCCTCATTGCAACAAGGCAGCTGTGATTATCATCTCTGTTTACAGATGTAGACACTGAGGAACAGAGAGGTCAAGCTACTTGGCCCAAGTCACATAGCCAGGAAATGGTGGCACTGAATGATTTCCTCCAGGTGGTCTGGTTCCAGAACCCATGCTCCTAATCATGATTCCATGACCGTGTGCTCAGACACTGGATGTAGAGGAAGCCTTGCTCAGTGCCTGGCACACAGTAGGTACTTAGTAAGCTAAAGTTCCTTCCTTTTTATGCTCAGAATGCATTTGGAAGTGGAGGTTCCCATAGTGCTTTTTGTCAGGCCTTGGCCTTGCCCTGGAATCTTGGGGCTAATCTTTTCCCATCTCTGGACCTTTGGGTTTGCTTCCTGTCTAAAATGAGAGGCTCATTCTTTTCTTCAGTGGCATTGATTGAGTTCCTGCTGTATGCACCAGTCTAGGCACGGGGCACAGATAAGGCTTCTATTCTCATGCAGCCTATACTTTGGTTGGAGGAGACAGAGTAATTGAGGTAAACGCCGAGGAGAAAACACACTAGTGATGTGATGGAGAGTGAGGGGCACTAACTCCCATTGGCTGGTTGGAGAAGGACTCACCGAAGAGGTGACATTTAGGCCGTGTCATGGGAAGGTCTGGGCAGAGTGTTTTGGAGAAGCCAATAAGTCTGTAAGGCTCTAAAGGGGAAACCAGGTTCAACAACACTGTGAGGGCATGAGGGGGTGAGCAGATCAGAGAGGCCCTAGGCTGCGGCTCAGAGTTTGAATTTTATTCTTAGTGTGATGGGAAGTCGGGGACATTTTTTCCACCAGGGTCCCTTTTGATTGTTTTCCTCTTCATGATGACCATGCTTTGAAAAATCCTGTTAACCACAAAAGGCGTGTTTATTAAACCACAGAACACACAACTTAGGCTTTTAAAGTGTGGGCAAGTAATTTATGGATCGCGATGAATATCTTTGAGGACCCCCAGAGACCTAAAGATGATAGATGGAGACACTGTCAACTAAACAGTCTTAAAGTCCCTGTTTTAAACCTTCATTCTTCCCAAAGCTGCATGCCATAGGATTAAAAAAGATTCCTGCCACCTATTGGTAGAAAACAGAAGATGAATTTTTGCCCAATGAAAATCCCAAGCCCAGTGTATTTCTTTGGTCCCACATTTTGGCTTTACATCCTGCAGTGGAGACCTGGAAATGGCTCTGGGGAAGGGTGGCATGGTGCTGCCTTCCTCTCTTTCTGGCAGAGAATCTGGACTTTCTTTCTGGGTCCTTCTAACTCAGTTCATGATGGTGTGTCAGGAGGGACTGTTGGATGTATCTGTGAGGACAAACCCTGGCAAGCCAACAGCCGGTCAGCCTCTGTATGTTCAACCAGGTGAAGCCATTGTTTGTTCTTGACCCACCGGTACACTGAGTTCCTGAATTCAGTGTCCCCACACCCTAACCTAGGCAAACAGACTTGTTAGCACCGCACCCCATTATTAAATTCTCAGCTGCTTTATTTCTCATTTGCATTTTCCGAGGCTGAGTGAATCTGCTGACTTCCGTTTTCTTTTTCTGTTTCAGATTTTGTGCACGGATGCCTGTAGTAGTAAGTACCACTTCCCTCTCCACTCTTGTGTTGTTTGTTACTGCCCCCTGATGGACACAGCGACATTAATAGCTATGTGAAAGTCACAGAAAATGTTAATTTGTGAAAATTCAGTTTTCAGTTGTTCTTTAAACGTGTTGTGGGGATTGAAATGGCTAGTGAAGGAAACAATTCAATCCATCGTGCAACATGGACAAGTAAAAAATTTATGCTTTCTGTGATTTTTTTTCCAACCAACCTACATCCATGGGTGATTAAAAACCCCCACACAACTTAGTTGAAACCATGATACCATGATGCAGTATGATTTATTTTATGTGCTGTGATCCCATAAGTATTTTCTTGAGTTGTTACATTGCCCCATGATTTTTAAGTGGTGTACAGGGTTTGTATAACCTTTAGAAAACCAGACAGCCTTTTGTGTATTTTGCTTCCATGTGGAGGGCTTGGTCCCACCCACTAACTCTAGTGCTGGTCCATTGAAGTCCTCCCTAGCCTATACTAAAATGAGAACAATAAGGATATGAGAATAAGTTTTTTTAAAAATATGTTTTTATTGATTTCAGACAGGAAGGGAGAGGGAGAGAGAGAGAGAGAGAGAGAGAGAGAGAGAAAGAACAAGAGAGAGAGAAATAGAAACATCAATGATGAGAGAGAATCATTGATCAGCTGCCTCCTGGAGGCCCCCTACTGGGGATCAAGCCTACAACCTGGGCATGTGCCCTTGACTGGAATCGAACCTGGGACCTTTCAGTCCGCAGGCCGACGCTCTATCCACTGAGCCAAACCAGTTAGGGTGAGAATGAGTTTTTAATGAAGCTAACTATATTCAGTTGAAAGTACTGCCTATTTTGGGATTATGTACTTAATAATTTTTTTGGTTGTAAAACGTTTCAATAAGAAAGAAAGATAATAGTACTTGGTAGTTTTTTAAAAATGTAGGTATTTGGGAAAAACTTGGTAGGTTTTGTCTGCCCTCAAAATTAGGGGACTTTTAGGTGATCACTTAGTAAGTTAAAATGTCTAATCACTGGGTTGTATGCCTGAAACTAACATAATATTGTATGTCAACTGTAATTAAAAAATAAAAAATTATTTAAAGGCAAACCCCTCCACAAATGGCCCCCAAAAAGCAGGGGCACTTTTTTTTAATTGGTAAAATCCTAAAACCTGTGAACCACAGAGATAAAATAATTAGACTGTTCTCAGAGTACCATGTAAAGGGGACAGATCATGCTGAAACCTTCTAATAAAGAAATCTCAGTTAATAATAGTAATTATACAGAGGCTGTGCAAACAATGGGAAGAATCCTGCAGTTGCTTTTTCTGCCTTGTTAATCAGCTTAGTCAATGAGCTTGTACCTCTAGCAGATTTGAATCACTGGCATGAAAGAAGAAAACCTCTATGCATAGAGGTGATATTTTGGAGCAGAAGGAAAGATGAGGGAACGATGACACATTTAAAAATCTATAATAAAAAAACCCTATTGTATAGCGAGTATATGGTAGATGTGCTATTTTATTAATTTGCATTTTGCTTTTCTCTCCTGTGTGCTAGGTGTCCCCTGTGAGCTGGTTACAGTCAAATCTACCACCACTGAGATTCTTGTCAGTAAAAAACCAGAAAACCTTTCACTAATAACCGTGACTGATTCGAGCAACCAGAATCCGCAGCGTTTCCAAGAGAATGGAGACGACATTATTTCAGTTGCGGGGCTGGCTCCTGGTACGAACTATTATATCAGATACTCAAATGGCTCTAGTTTCTGCTGCCAAGTGTGGACACGTGAGCAAGACTCTTCCTTTGGGGTGGATTGCAGGGTTTAGACTGTAAATGTCTTCATACCTGCAGTGTATGTGAGATCTCTTTATTTGAGCTTCAGCAGTAAAATGCAACCGTGTTGTATCTCTCTTCTCCCCATTCTTGGCCCTGTTGCCTGGCTGGAGGGTATCCTGACTCCTCTGAGAGCGGCGTTAACCCTCCGTCTGCCTGGTCTTCGAGCAGTACTACCACGGCCCAGCACAGGTGTAGACTCAGAGACCCAGGTTGGCTTCCTGGCTCTGTCAGTTTCGAACTCTGTGACTCTGGGCAATTCCTCTTAGACTTCATCTTTATTAAAAAAAAACCACACCAACAAACTATACACACACATTTTATTTATTTATTTATTAAAAATATTTTTTATTGATTTCAGAGAGGAAGAGAGGAGAGAGAGATAGAAATTACAACGATGAGAGAGAATCACTGATCGGCTGCCTCCTGCACATCCCAAACTGGGAACCGAGTCCACAACCCGGGCATGTGCCCCAACCGGGAATTGAACCATGACCTCCTGGTTCATGACTCGATGCTCAACCCCTGAGCCACGCTGTCTGGGCGCACACACACATTTTAAAAAAGTGCTTTATTTTCTAAACCATTGAAACACAAGAACTTGCTTTTCTAAAAACTTCCCAGAATCAACAAAATTTAGTTCTCAACACATTTCTCCATCTTTAAAACAGATCCGTAGTTTTCCTCATGATGTTGCGAAGCATAAATGAGCAACTGTATGTATGGATAGCACCTGGCACGGTGCCAGGAACATGGTCCCAAATAGGGCCGCTGCTTTTGCTGCCTTGACCACTGTGACCGTGGTTATCATTTTACCACCCCCCTCACCACCCTCAGCATTGACCGTAATGGACTCCACAGTGATAAGCTGCCAAAAATGCTACCGTGAACCTGCCCCTCAGGCAAGAGGAAGCTCGAGCATGGAGGGGCTTTGAGGCATGAAGTGTACTGACTTGTGGGCCCTAGACGCTTCCTTGCCTGTGCCTTTTCGTTTCTCTCAATTCCGCTCCTGCCCCTTTTCATGGATTGTGTAACGGTTGCATCTCCGGGGGGCCAGGTGAGGCACACTCTCCATGCTGACATTTGAAGGTCATGTGCATGCCCAGGTGGTGTTACCTGTACCATCTTTTCTCTTCTGGGGTCAGTACCTAGGTCCTTGAGAAAAGGGGCCCCATGGCTGTGCTTCCTCCTCTGTTGCAAGTTGCTATTCCTCAGTCTTGAATATAATTAGGATGCATCCACTTTGAAGTTATAGTTAATGACTGTAAAAACTTTCATTGTTTTTAAAAAAGCCTCACTTGAGGATTTAAATTACTTTCAGAGAGGAACGGGGAGGAAGAGAGAGATAGAAACATCAATGAAGAGAGAGAATCATTGATCAGTTGCCTCCTGCACGCCCCTTACTGGGGATGGAGCGCTCAACCCCGGGCATGTGCCCTTGACTGGGAAACGAACCTTGACCTCCTGGTTCATAGGTCGACACTCGGCAACTGAGCCAGGCTGGCTGGGCAGAACCCAGATTTTTTTTTTTTAAACATATTTTATTGATTTTTTACAGAGAGAAAGGGAGAGGGATAGAGAGTTAGAAACATCGATGAGAGAGAAAAATTGATCAGCTGCCTCCTGCACGCCCCCCACTAGGGATGTGCACGCAACCAAGGTACATGCCCTTGACTGGAATCGAACCTGGGACCTTTCAGTCCGCAGGCCGCCACTCTATCCACTGAGCTGCCCTTTGTGTTTAGTGTAGTGTGTTAGAGCTGTCAACAGAGGAACCTGAGACCGAGAGATTGGAAAGGATTAATTCCAGGTCACACAGCTCAGGTGGGGGAGAGCAGGTCCATATGTCCAGGTCTGGATTCTAAGACCAGTTCTTTCTTCTAATGTAATTCTGTCCCTTGTCATCTTCATACCAGATCGATATGGAGCATCCTCTGATTTCAGGGATTGGCAAAAAGTTACCGGACACTTCTGTACCAGATGATGCCTCACTACACGTGGCTGTTTTCTGTGAACGGGGGATAGACTTACTTTGCATCTTAGGTCTCCGTTTGTACCAGCTTCTAGATTTAGCCCTCATTCAAGTCCCAGCCAAGAGGGCCAACCTCTATCACTTTGTCTATGTTTTAAAGCCCATTGTTTCACAAACATGCATGCATACATGTATATATATGATTGCAAAATTCACTTCTGGGAAGTAGTCTACAGATCAGGCCTTGCTCTCATATTTCTCTTGCAAATATAATTTTTCTTTCCTTTTTCTTTGGAAACAATATCGAAATAGAACCCAGTCCTGTGTTTGGCATTGAAGCTATTTCCATCAGTCCCACCAGCGTGAATCTAACATGGAAAAATGACGACTCAGCTGCTTCTAATTATGAGTATGAAGTAAAGGATGAGACGGGAAGCTGGACGGGGACTTCTGGTGTAAATCAAAGAAGGATTGATATCCCCGACTTGAGTCCAGCGACTTTATATACCTTCTCCATCACTCCAAAAATAAACGGAAGTAGGGGAAATGCCAGCTTCATAAATGTCACAACAAGTAAGATGACTAGCTCCCAGCAATGATCATGAACCATCATTCCTTCTTGCCCTGTGGGCTAGGGCCTTGTCCATTCAAGTTGCCTGTTGAAAAGAGATTGATTGTCTTTGACTGTGGGAGAGGAGAAAGGATTCTGTATTGTTCTAAGCCCAGGAGTTCAGGTTGCCTGATCATTCAATATGAAGGCCCCTTGTGTTTGGGATGTCTTAAGTAATTCCAATTGGTTGTAAAAATCTTTTGTTTTTATTGGTTAATACTTTTCTGCTGGGACTTGGGAGCAGAGACCCCGTTGGAAATATGTTTTGATGTTGTCACTAATTATGAGGGTTCTTCTAAGCTCCCAGGAAAATTGGTGTTGTGTTTATAGTCTCAGGAATTTTTCTTGGGGAATGAAGTTTTGGTAGATTTTATAGAGGAATGTGTGTTTCAAATGAAAGCGTCCAGTGACATTTGATTGAGCTTAGATTTGTACTTAGCTTAGATGTCAATGTCCTGAGCCACCTGTTATCAGCAAATTTAGCTCTCTGTGTTTTTTTTTTTTAAAGCTGAAAAGAACCAAAAATATAAAACAGAGGTGAGAAGGTCTTTTTAAGCTGAGAAGAAGCAAACATTTAAAAAAGAGGCCCATTGTTGGTTTTCCGGGGTGGGAATGTGATCTCATTGGCTGGTGAAGCCAGGAGTCTGACCTCTTGGAGTCCAGGGCTTGAAGTGACCGCCTGGGCCAGCACCTTCTGCACACGGAGCAGACAAACACTAAACCAGTGGTTTTCAACTTGTTTTGCCTTTTTTTCAGCTAGGAAACAATTTCTTTAAGCAAAATCTTTCTCAGAAGCCCAGTAAGTAAAAAGAACCAGGGAGAGAGGAGCTAAGGGATGGAGTGTCTCAGGCCCCTTCAATAAACCTCTGGAGCTCCTCAGAGCAGTTTTAGAGGGAAGCCCCCTTCCCCCTAAAATAAAGATTTCTATATTGTGAAAGAAAGGAAAAGAAGGTGCTAGAAGAGAGTGAAGGAGGAAAAAGAAGACATTTTAGAACTGGTGGTGGGGACAAAGGGACAGAGAATTGCTAAGGGTGGGGAAGAGAAGGCGGTGAGTTAGCAGGAAGCAGCCCTCCGGGAGCTGAGGACCCTTACTCCGCCTTACAGCCTGAGGACAAGGCTGCGTTCCTCAGCACCTACTATGTGCTTAGCTGTCCTTATTCCATGATTTTTGTCCTCCCGGTAACTCCAAGGGCTACAGTGGACGAAACTGTAAAGCTGAGAAGTTAGGTTTCTTGTGAGAGCCCAGAGTTACAAGTGGTGGGAACCCAGGAGGCCTGGTCCCTGACCCCCTGTGGCACAATGATGTGCGTAACAGGTACCCTGTGTCATTCAGCTGGCTAGTTTGTTGGTGTTCCATTAAAAAAAGCAAAAGGCACACAAGTGGCCCAATTTAGAAATCTTTGCATCAGCAACTTTTGATGTGAAGACTAGGACCACAGAGTGGACTAGCTGGACGGGGCGTGGTGTCTCAGGTTCGGCTTCCTGCAGACTTCAGGCAGGGTTTCTGCTCTGTCCACAACATACCTGTGCTTGGATGTGCTGAAGGCCGGAGCCCTGGGCTCTGGCTTTCCTGACGGTCCCAAGTGTGCGTTCCTGAGCAAGCCACCCGCCTCTCTGTAGCTCCATGTTCTCATAAAGGCAGGGCGTGCATGTCATTTCGGCTGAAAGGGTTTGGTTTATGTCACTGTGAGCCAAATCAGGTGATGGAAAGAACGGTGAGGGGTTAGCACAGATTGAAAGTTTTCTGAAAAATCCCCTTGGGCTCAGAATGCAGTGATGCGTTCCTTCATAGAAATGTCTTGGTATTGGGAAATGATATTACTTGTGTTGTCTTGACTTGAGACCTTTAGACATAGCAAACAACCACTTTCTTTGATGCTCTGTTCCTGCTGTTTAAAAACAGATGTAGTTAAATGCTGCTGTTTAAAAGGGACCGTTTAGAGGAGTGTCCAGTCACTGTTGGTCCACTGTCTTGGGGGATATTACAGATCTTAAAAAGCTCTGCATATAAGATTTAGTCTCTTCTCTCCTCTTCTGCATAGGATATATATTTTCTCCTGCTCGGCAATGATGGAATTGCACTAGACTCTGATACGAAGGAAGTGTTTTTAGTGGGTAATATTGAAACATCAGCGTCCCCAGTCATTCTTAATGAAAGGTGATTACGCATATCTTGTTCCATCAATGCCCATCTTGTGTTTTTAAAATAGCGCCTCTTCCAGTGTCTGACCTTCATGTTACCTGCAAGGGTGTGACCGCAGTTGCACTGGCCTGGAAGAATAGCAATGGCACTGCCACCTTCCGGATACTCCTAGAAGCCACGGGAAGCCATGAGGAGGTGACTCAAAACTTAGCAGTCAACATTTCAGACCTGAAGCCAGGGTTTAAATATAAGGTCACCCTAAACGTTTCGGAATCAAACAGCCCTGGAGAACATGGCTCAGGTGAGTTACAAGAGTGTGCCTCTCATCTACTTGCAAGTTTTGCCTTTCAGTAACTTAATACTTTAAAAAATATGGTTCTATGTGTAGAGAGTGTTAGAATCCGTAGAGGGCTCTTCCTGCAGATTTGACTTTGACCCCACGCCTGTTTGAGGAAGGAGGGAAAGTATTTTGATTTTGTAGGTCAGCACATAGGGGCTCAGAATGGCAGCGGGTTGAAGCTTTTGGCATCCAGGAAAGCAGCTGGGCCACGTGGCTTTTCCTTTCCAACTTTCCGCTGAACAAATGACAGACCTGTTACCCCACGTAGGCCATTCTTCTTCTTTTTTATTTAAAAAATTTTAAACATATTTTTAATTGATTTCAGAGAAGAAGGGAGAGGGAGAGAGATAGAAACATCAATGATGAGAATAATTAATTGGCTGCCTCCTGCACGCCCCACACTGCGGATTGAGCCTGCAACCTGGGCATGTGCTCCGACCGGAATTGAACTGTGATGCTCAGCCACTGAGCCAAGAGGCCGGGCTATTTCTTCTATAACCCAAGCACATGCCCCAGACCGGAATCGACCCCGGGACCCCTCAGTCTGCAGGCCGACGCTCTATCCACTGAGCCAAACCGGTCAGGGCTCTATTTTTTTTAAATTTATTTTTAGAGAGAGAGCGAGAGATAGAGAGAGAAACATCAATGTGACAGTAAAACATCCATCGGCTGCTGGGCATGCGCCCTGACCAGGAATCAAACCGGCAACCCTTCCGTTCATGGGACGACACTCAACCAACTGAGCCACACTGGCCAGTTGGAGGAGCTTATCACATCCCCCGAGAAAAGGGATACTGAGGCAGACCTAGACATCTCCTGCTTTGACGGTGGAGTAGTCATTTGCAGATTAGAGCATTTTCAGGGCAACTCTGAATTGAGAAGAATATCGGTTTTGTTGTCAGAGTATTTCTCCACACAACTCCAGGAGAAACGGCCACCAGCATTCCCCCTGGTTCACCCCGGTCAGCAGGGGTCTAGGCCAGGGGAACAGGTGCTTGAGTGGGTTCTGATGAACTACGTTTGGCTGGTGGCTGTCCGTCGGAAAGCACATCTGGACTTGGGTGGGAGAAGGTGACTTCCTGAAAGTAGGGAGAGGGATGCAAATAGATGAATTTCAAATAGATATCTACACTGCTTCCTGCGATAAAAGTACAGAGTGAAACATCTGCCCCAAATCGGGGCGTTTTCAGGCACAGGCGTCTCTGTCTGGGGGAGGAGGGCAGCAGGTACTGTGGAGTCCCAACTGTGGGGCAGAAAGAAGACAGGCATGTGTGCTTCTGTCGAATTTTAACGTCTTTGCCTTTTGTGTTTGAAGCAAATGCCACCGGCACAGAGAGCTCAGACCCGACACCCAAAAGCCTCACTCCCCTTATGTACAACGACCCACCCTCTGGCTTTCCTCTGACTGACACGGAAGTCCTGCTTCTTGGGTTAAAGTCTGGCACGTCGTACAATGCCACTGTTTATCCTCGAGCACCAACCGGCCCGGAAGGAGAGCCCCAGAAAATAGTCTTCAGCACACGTATGTTGGATTTCATAAAATGGCTTCAGCTGGTTTCGAGCACAAAGTTTTGTCCTCTGTGATTCTGAGTTACCTCTTGCTTCACAAGCGGTTTTGTTGTTACACGGAGTTTTCCGGAAGAGCAGACCCGCTGAGGTTCTTCTTAGCCCTGTGGCCAAGACGCTTCTTTCTCTGAGCTCAGGAAAGCACAGGGAGCAGCCAGTGTGCAGACCCCGGGAGCTGCCTCGGGTTTTCCTTCATTTCTCTGCACATGAGCCAATGAGACAAGCTGGTGTGATATTTTTCTCTTACAAACTGATACTCACTTAGTCAGTGTTGGTTAAGTATTTTCTCCTTGAGATCAGAGAATGAGTTTCCTCTTTTGGACTGACCTTGGGAAGCACACTGCTCTTTCTTTAAAAAAAAAAAATTTTTTTTTTTATTGATTTCAGAGAGGAAGGAAAATGGAGAGAGATAACAACATTAATGATGAGAATCACGAACTGGCTGCCTCCTGTACGCCCCACACTGGGGATCAAGCCCGCAACCTGGGCCTGTGCTCTGACTGGGAATCTAACCTCCTGGTTGATAGAGTGACACTTAACCACTGAGCCACACCGGCTGGGCAGCATGCTGCTCTTTCTGTGGAAACTTGTGCATGTGGCTGCTTTTTACCTCTCCTTTATCAGCACCTCCACCCTGTAGATTGACCCGTACGGGAAGGCTTTTTGGATTGGTGCTGGTGAGCGGCTAAACAAATGCACAGTTCCTACCCTCAGGGAGTTTCAGTCTAGATGATAATTGAGACACAAATACTTGGAATAGCTCATGGCCTGCTCTGCGGGTTTAGGAGCAAACACCACAGCATTGCAGTTCTCAGGGGCTTGGTGGCAGCAGCATAACCTGACTCTGGTTGTCTTACCCAAAAGTATATCTGTTCAGAAAGGCTGTCGTAGGCCCACAGAACAGAGGGTGGGGGCCGGAGGACCCAGGACAGAAAATGGATTGGCATCCAGAACACTCTGGATGGCTGGACTGCACTGGATCTGGTGACACTCTGAGGATTCAAAGCCCCGAGATGGAGAGCTGTCCCATACCCACTTTCTGGATTTCTGTGCTGGAGAAGGGAGATGCTATCCCCCAGCTTCTACATGGGTCACATGCGCTTCCTCACACCAAGGGGGCATGGAGTGCTGTTTGGAAAAGGGGCTGCACAGGGAATGCATGGTCACTGTCCATTGTTGCTGCCCATGAGGGAATCCACCACATCACATGGAAAACCCAGAGCAGCTATGCCCTTGCAGTTGGCCAGGCTGCTTCTTCATAGAAGAAGATGCCTGACTTGTGCTGGGACCCCATACATGCGTGTGTTGTGGTTAAACGGTGTAGGATAGAAAGGAACCATCGCTGAGGGTATTTCTTAGACTAGATGGCATGCCCAAGGACGGCCTCTCTCTCTCTCTCTCTCTCTCTCTGGCTTGGCCATTCTGGTTATTGTGAACTCCTCTCGTGTCTTCGCAGAATCCAGTCAGGTTTTTGACATCGAAGCTACAAACGTCACTGCCACAAGCATGATCCTGACCTGGAAAATCAATAATGATTCGTGCTTTGTCTACACCTACGAGATAGACGTTGAGCCCGCTTCCCTCAATCTCAATCTCACCATCAATGAGACTCAGGCTGTCATCACCGGACTCAGCTCGAGCACCTTATACAACATCACAGTGCGCCCGTTCCTGCAGGACAGCTCTGCGGGCATGCCGGGCTTCCTCCAGGTGTACACCCGTGAGTGCACGCATTGTTAGCTACCCTTTCTTGCCTACCTGCCATGCGCCAGGCCCAGTACGAGGCTCTGCTCCTGCCCTGCAGAGCCGAGCATGTGAGTCCACGGGACTTCTATGTACAGGATCTGCGATACAATACCGGTGATCCTCGCCCGACCCTGCCACATGCCCACGCTGTGTGATGTGTTTTCCTCGCTCTGTCTCGTTTATTGTTCACAGCCCTGTGGCCTGGTTGCCACTAGGCTGTTTTATGGATGAGGCAGCCAAGGCTGAGAGAGGTGCTGTTGGCCGGTGTCACACTTGGCAGATGACAGAGGTGGGGTTAGATAGCTGGGGTGTCTCGACCCCAGCCTGTGCGGGTAAGGACCGTTCCGGTGTGGCAGAGACGTGGAGCAACTTCCTACACGGAGACAAAAATGAACCTGGATATTCATGTCCCCTTGTCCCTAAGGTGCTGATGTATAATGAAGCAGGGCTCAGCTGTGTCTCATCCCTTGTTCGCTTAACTGTCCCTTAAGATCAGATGATAGGCAGCACATTAAAAGCTTTTTGTCCAAAGAGGCTCCAGTACGTTAGAATAAAACTAACAGCATGCCAGTGGTGTTGTAGGGTAATACTATAACAGAATCAGGGTAGCAGTGGCCTTTGAGGTAGGTAGTAGGATCCCTGTTTTACAGATGAGAAAACTACAGCTCAGCTGGGCTGAACAGTTGGCCCAAGGCCACAGAGCTAGCAAGTGGCAGAGCAGGGACTGGAACCCAGAGATCCTGGCTCATCCCACAACAATGCTTTCATCCAAGGTTTGTCCCTTCCCAGGAAGCACACCAGCAGTGGCCAAGGTCCCCCTCCAGACCCTGAACCCTTGACCCCCGGGATACACGGCTCCTCTCATTTCCTGCAGATGACCTTGAACAACCTAAGCTGTTTCTGCACTCTTGTAGCCAAGTGTTCTCTCAGTGGCCAGACACCAGTTTCGGAGGGGGTTCGCGTTGTAGGTGACAGTGCAAAGGAGAGAAAAAGAGAGGTCAGGGTCATTTAGCCTCATTGTAAATATTTTGTGAGGTTCAGTCACCTTGTCTTCTGGAGATAGAGCCTTACTTGCCCCTATGTTCTTCCCTCAGGTCCTGGTCCAGTTTCTGACTTCCGAGTGACGAGTGTCACCACAAGGACTGTTAGCTTAGCGTGGAGCAGCAATGACTCGGACTCCTTTAGAATACTCACCTCACAGAACGGAACTGGAAAATCTCAGAATACAACCGCCCAAAGTAGTATCGTCATTGATGGCTTATACCCTGGGACCGAGTATTGTTTTGAAATATTTCCACAAGGGCCAAATGGGACTGAAGGGGATTCCCGGACAGTTTGCAATACAACTGGTAAGCAAATAGGCTGTGTTGTCTGTGAAACAGTAATGGTTCTTAAAGGAAATCAGTATAATTTATAAATGTCAGGTTTTCCAAATGTTGTTTTTCTTTTATTATCTAAGAAAAGTCTTTAAAAAAACATTTACAATGACAGTAATGCATAGTCATTCTATAAAATACAGACAAGAAAAAAAAATCACCCGTAAACCATCAATCAGAGATAATCACTGGTAACTTTTGATGTATGAAGTTTTATAATTTAAAGATATATACAGGGAGACCCTGGCCCAGTAGCTCAGTTGGTTAGACTGTCATCCTTATTTGCCAAGGTTGCAGGTTCCATCTCTGCTAGGGGCACAGAGAAGAAGCAAATAATGCATAAGTAAGTGGAAGAATAAATTGATTTTTTCTCTCTCTCAAAATCAATTAAAAAAACAAAAAACTCGCCCACACATTAAGAAAAAAGACGTATACAGGTATACATGCACACACACACACACACACACACATCTATACATATATATTTATTATGTGACAAACATTGAAGTCATCCTGTACATGTGGTTTTGTAATCTGCTTTTTTCCACATACCAGTTTACTATAAGCATCCTTTCCTGTAATATAAATATTTCTACAGGATAATTTTAATATCTTCCTGGCATTCCATTATTTATAACAGGGGTCAACAGATAGTAATGGCCCATGGGTCAAATCTGGCCAACTGTTTTTGTAAATAAAGTTTTATTGAAACACAGCTATGCTTATTTGTTTATGTACTCTCTATGGCTTCTTTTGTGCTGTAAATGAGTAATTGCAACAGAGACTGTGGATATGGCCCACAAAGCCTAAAATATTTGTTCTGTGGCCTTATGGGAAAGGTTTACTTCATGAGGCGGGTGCTATTATCATCTCTATTTTCCAGAGTAGGAAATAGGGCTGCGGTTCTCAACCTATGGGTCGCAACCCCTTTGGGGGTCGAACGACCCTTTCGCAGGGGTCGCCTAAGACCATCGGAAAACACATATATAATTACATATTGTTTTTTGTGATTAATCACTATGCTTTAATTATGTTCAATTTGTAACAATGAAATTGGGGGTCACCACAACATGAGGAACTGCATTAAAGGGTCGCGGCATTAGGAAAGTTTAGAACCACTGAAATGGGGACTCTGCAAGCATAAGTAACTGGCCCAGAGTGACAGGGCAGTGAACTGGCCTCTGCCTTTGAAGACAGGTTTTAAGCACAGTGTGGACTGATACTTAGATATGGTGCAGCTGCGAAGTAATTGAGGCGCCTATAATAGGTCTCAGTGAATGAAAATCAATGAGAGTAGTAAGAAGGCAGTTGACTTTTAGGGGATTACCATTCTATTATTGAACAACTTTTATTATTATTAGGGAAAATCAGTGTAACAGCATTAAAGACAATTTTGAAAAAGGAAAAGAAATACCATATGACCCAGCAATTCCACTTCTTTTCAGATAAAAAGCAGTGACTCAAATAGATACTTGTACACCAGTGTTCACAGTAGCATGATTCATAATAGCCAAAAGGTGGAGGCAACCAAGTGTCCATCAACAGATGAATGGATAGACAAAATGGATAGACAAAAATATCCATACAATAGAATATTCTTCATCCATAAAACACAATGAAATTCTGATCCATGCTACAATATGGAGGGCCTTGAAAACATTAACATTATGCTAAGTGAAATAAGCCGGGCGCACAAGGACAAATATTCTAGGATTCCACTTACACGAGGTACCCGGAATAGGCAATTTCATAGAGACAAAAAGTAGAGGTTTCCAGGGGCTGGGGTGAGAGGACTGGGGAGTTGTTTAATGCGGTTTATGTTGAGGATGAGGAGCTGTTTGGGGTATAGAGAATTTATGGTGATGGTTACACAATGCTGCGAATGTACTTAGTGCCCCTGAGCTGTGCTTAGTTATTTCTGAGCCTTGATCTTTGCATTCATATCGTAACTGGTTTATTGTGTCAGGTAGGGGATCAGAGTACAGTGCCCAAGTGCTCAGGTGGGCGCTTTCACCTCTCACCCCCAGCTCTGAGAGGGGAGGGCTTGACCGTGTTTTCCCCTCTTTCCCACCCTGGTCTCAAATGTTCCCACTTAGTAAGTATCAACTCTCCATTTCAGTTTTTCTCTTCGGTATGCTGACTGTGTTTCAGGAAGATGTCTTCTTTTGAGGGAATGATTAAAAACAATCTGTTGAGAATAACATAAATGAGGGAATGACTAAAAGCACTTTGTTGAGACTAACATACATCCGAAAAGCACACCCATCCTAAGTGCATGGTGTGGTGAATTTTCACAAGCCCAACCCATCTGGTCGCCAGCATTCAGGTCAGGAAACTGAACGTGATTTTTACTAGAAGACCCCCAACGGGGCACTTTTATGACCAAGGCAAAGGACCAGAGAACTGATGGGGTGAACTGGTAAGTGCCTCTGTGTTATGGGAGAGCCAACATTCTAGAAAGAACTGAGTGTGTTTCTCACCCATGTTTTGGAGTTTGCGCTTTGTGAACTCATTTGAGACCGATGATGAAAGAACAAGTTCCTTTGACAGACACTTTGAAGTGAAGCTGGAGGTTACGATGGTCATTAACAGCCCCCCCCCCCCCTCTCCCCCGCCCCCCGCTTCCTCCAACCAGACTCCGCTGCTGTGTTTGACATCCGCGTGGTCAATGTCACCACAACTGAAATGACGTTAGAGTGGCAGAATCTAGACAACGCCCCTGACTACATCTACCACCTAGAGCTGGAGTCTAAGCATGACTCTAACCAGATGAATAGCTCCGACAAATCCATCACTCTCAGGAACCTGATCCCGGGCACCTTATATAACATCACCATTGTTCCAGAAGTGAACGGTGTCCGGGGGAGCTCCAGCTTCACTGTGCAGTACACACGTAAGTGTCTTACGACGCCCTCTTAAAGGGAGTGTCTCCCTGACTTTCACTTGGAGGGTGGGAAGTAGGCATTGCCCAGGGGCTATTGTTTCTGAATTTCAGGTCAAATGTGAAGCTCTTGAAGCTGAAGATATCAGCAGAGGTTCTGTTCTTCTCATGGGGTACTGGTGCTGAGCCTTGTGAACCTAGAATTGTCTTCAGAAGCAGAAAGCGATCCCATAAGCACGGGAACATACCTGTCCCGTTCATTCCTTGGGAGTTCAGATGAGGGGAGGGTCTGCCTGTCGTTGGTGTTGGAAGGTACTGCTCAGTTGAGGAGCTCTGTATGCAGCAGTGAGGGAGGCACTTTGCTCATCTTCGATCTAAATAAGTGTATGGTAGAGATGGTAGTTTATAATATCTTTTTAACATATATTTTTCTTTCACTGATCAGATTTCAAAAACAGATAGGAAATTATATCTTGAAAATTTTGGACACATACAGAAGTGTCAACAGAAGCATGAAAGAGTTTATTCTTTTGAGATATAATCTGTCTAACTATTTTCTGAGTATCTTTTTGAGAAGTCTTCCATCTTTTGAATTAGCAAATACTGGGTTTATTCATTCTTTCCCGAAAGGAGCTAGGCTATTTTTAGATGCATGATATAAAAGAGTCCTGGAATTCAAGCTAATACATACTTTCCCCCCCTGCCCCCCAAATCAAGGGCCCAGCAGTGTGTCCGACATTAAAATAAGTACTGACACCACATCAGCAACCTTCAGGTGGCAGAACGCTGATGCGGCCTCTCTCACGTACATCTACCGCCTTCTTATTGAGAAAAACGGGAATTCCAGCAACGCAACTGAAATAGTCACAGGGATTGGCATCACCAGTGCTACAGTCACCGAGTTAACACCTGGCTCCGGGTACACAGTGAAGATCTTCGCCCTAGTGGGGAACGTCACTGAGTCCCTGGCGCCTGACTGGCAGTCCTTCTGTACAGGTGAGTAGTCCCAGGTGCCTGTTGGACCTCTTCCTGTGGGGTGCCGCCTTGCAGGTGGGTCCTCCCCACACTTTAGTTTATCAGGTTTTGTGTGGTGTGTTATAATAGACAGTGAGCTCTTGGAGGCCTCCTGTTTGCTTATTAGCGCTCTCTTGTTGCCCTCATCACTTATTCGTGCAATAAATATTTATTGAGCACTTACTATATGCCAGGCACTTTACAATGACTCAGATAAGTCCCAGCCTTCCTGGAACTTGCATTCTGGTGGGGAAGACATAATAAACATGATACATTAGTTATTAGATGATGGTGACTGCCAAGGAGAGGGAAAAACACAAGGAAGGAAGAGAGTGGATGTTTATCGAGGGGTACCCAGGGGAAGCCTCAGTGAAAAGGTGCCTTTTGAAAAGAGATCTGAAGGAAGTAAAAAAAAGCCAGCCATGTGGACATCAGGGCATTGGGCATTACAGGCAGAGGCGCAGCCAGTGCAAAGGCCCTGAGGCTGCAGGTGCCTGCTGTGTTGAAGGAAAGCAGGAGGCCAGGGTGGCAGGGTCCACAGGAGCAAGAGGGTGAGGGGTAGTGGTCAGGCCTGAGAGGTAATGGCTGGGGCATGGATGACATCTAGATGGTAATTTATAGTTTGGCTTTGACACTAAGAAGATGAAAAAGATGTTATAATGGATGCTCAGCTTTTCACCTTTTTTGGTCCTTATCTCTCACTGCAAAAGGTGTGCTGAAGAGAAGGGGAGCCCTGCATTTAGCTGAGGGAGTTTCCTGAAAGTAGTCAGGGACTGCTTTGCAGACCGTTATGAAGACCTCGGCTCACAGTTCTGACTGTGGCCCATGGACCACCTTGTTCTCTACTCTCTTTGTACCCACACCTTCCGTTCCTTAGACCAAGCCACTCGAGTGTGTCCGGGCTGATTTAGAAGGCAGGAGACTCGTTAGATTAGTCTCCCTGGTAGTGTAGGAGCTGGAACCTCAATGACCTCTGGCCTTTCACATGGAGTGGCTAAAGAAATCCCTCCAGCTTTGAGCCACTTTGCTAACTCGGGCTCCATCCCACCTGGTCTAGACTCTGACCTTTGGTATTTGGGTGGCTTCCATTGCCGACCCTTCTCTTAGCTATAATTATTGCAGCCCCCAAAGCAGGAGACAAATATACATGAGCATTTGTGACTGTGGGTGGGTGGGACAGGAGCTGTAGATATGCATTGGGTAGGTGACCTTGCTAGGCCTCAAGTGGAGAATGTGTGAGTTGCACTAAGTGTCTTGCACAGAATTAAAAAATACGGTGGCATTAAAGTAATCATGATAATATCCCCAGTGCATTAATATGGAGTTTTTCATTTACATCAGTTTGATGTTGGCTTTCAGTAAAATTCTACTGGCCCTCAGACAGGTAACACCTCATTTTAAAGATGAAGAAACGGATACCATTTTATCGATCATTCAGCATGTTGTGTGTATAGACAATGCCCTAGACTTGGACTTAGCCTGGGGTCCAGTTTTGGCTTCTCCACTTACTAGCCATGCCATCCTCTACAAATCACTTAACCTCTCTAAGCCTTAGCTGATTCATTGGCAAAACGGGACAGTAATCCCCAAAATGAGATGATGCAGGTGAAGAAGTTGCTACCACCATACTGTGATGAGATGGCTAGCCCGGGCTCTTCCAGGTTGGTGTCCGACAGCCTTGGTTGCACGTAATCCTCAGAGCCCTGCAGCCGAGGCTCAGAGCAGTTGGATGCCGAACCCAACATCACCTAGTTTAGTGACACCCCATTCAAGGTCAGCCTTGCCTCTTCCCCCACACAGCACGCCTGCCTCCTCGCCATGGGCGGACCAGGACCCTACTGCTCTCCAGGGGCCAGTGTTCGCACAGGCCAGAGCCCCGGAGCCTCATGCTGTGCTGTGCTTGCTTTGCAGACCCGGCCCCAGTAGCCCCTTTCCACTGTGAAGTGGTCCCCAAAACTCCAACCTTGGTGCTCAAGTGGACCTGCCCTCCCGGCACCAACGAAGGCTTTCGGCTGGAGGTCAGCAGCGGAGACTGGAAAAATACGACACTCCTGGAGGGCTGCTCCTCGGAGGACGGCACCGAGTACAGGATGGAAGTCACATATTTGAATTTTTCTACCTGGTATGACATCAGCATCACTGCCTTGTCCTGTAACAAGATGGCATCTCCCGCCCAGAACACCTGCCGCACGGGCATCACAGGTGGGCTTCGTGGCAGCAGGGTGCCTGGTAGCACTGCAGTTACCCCGGGAGAGGCTGACCTACTGGGTCTGTGAGTGTGGCCTGGAAATCTGCTGTGTGTGTGTGTGTGTGTGTGTGTGTGTGTGTGTATGTGTTTAAATTTTTGCTAAAATATTTGCTTTTGTGGGCACGGACTGTTAACCCAACTCTATAGAAACCCAGTCTGAAGAAGCAGACAGAGTAAGAGGGACTTATGTTTTATATCCCAAAAGTTTCCTTTGCTTTGCAGAATAATTCATTGCCACATTTTCTAACTAGTGAGTTCCCTTACTACATTAAAAAAGTATTTTTATAGAAATCCTCAAATATACAAAAAAGTACAAGGAAGTACACAGAAACCTATGTGCCCATTGTCACCCAGTTGGATACTTGTTAGCACCTGGTCAATCTTATTTCACTATTTCTAGATATTTAGTCAAGATTCACATTTCCCTAGAATCCACATTAACAAGCTCCCCAGTTGTTTTGGGAAATGGGACCATTCACTACGTAGGTGCACGGGGGATCCCACAGTTACTCTTCTCGTGCCCATCTTTGTTTTGTTGTTCTCAGAGAAAATTGCTTCTCTCTTTGCTTCACTTTTACCTGTGTTTTGCTCTCCATGACTTTGCCAACATTAAGTCTCCCATCATCCTGGTTGAGTTTGTTTTGCTTTGTGCTTTTGACCCCTGGATATGTTTCCTGGGGAACAGGAACCGTGTCTGACACGGCATCTCCAGGGCCGAGCCCAGTGCCTAGCGGCGAGTGGGAGCTTGTCAGAGTTGGTAATTTGCGAAGCTGAAGCATGTGTGTTAGGATCGAGTAGTCACGGCTCTCATTCAGCCCAGTGACTTTCACTCTGTGATCTGTAGCTCCCTTTCCACCGATGGATCTTTATGTACAAATTGAACACGTTTTTCATTTGGATAAAAGTGGAGCTGCATTTTCTCCGTTGCCGGGTGGTGAATCAGGGAGGTGGGGGGTGTGGGTTTTGTAGCCGACATTGTTGGGTGCTCAGTGTGTGCCGGGTGAGGGACACCACGGTGAGCGAAGCAGGCAGGGCCCTGGGCGTGGGGTGAGATAGGCAGTGAGAGGGAAGGTGGGTGACTGGCCTGCGGCTGACAGTCTTGGGTGGGAGGCTGGTGGGCTGAAAGGCACGGCTGCTGGGAAACGTGGGAGCCTTGGTTGGCAGTCTCCACAGTTGGCAATTAGACACGGGACACCGCCTCCAAGCGGCCACTGCTGTCAGTTCTTGGGAGGTTGCTAAGCCAGGCCTAGAGCCGTGCTGTCCACTAGGAAATAATGTGGCCCTCATGTGTAATAGGATATATTCTATTATGACATGTTGATGTAACTCAGATTTTTATAGGAGGCATGTGAAGAAAATGCAAATAAAGGAATAGCTGCAGTGAGTTGCGATCACGCTTTGTTGAACTCGGTGTATGTAAAATGCTATCGTTTCCACACGTCATCTGTATCAGTGAGCCTGGAAGCTCCCACCACTTCCTCCTCTGCTCCTACTCCTGTGTCTGCTCGGTGTGAGGCCAGCGTACTGTTCCCAGAGCCAGGGCAGGACTTGCGGTCACTGCCGATTCTGTGCTTAATAATTGTTCCGTTTTTGGTTTTGATGCCGATGATCACGTTTGTGTTGTTCTGTTTCAGATCCCCCTCCTCCAGATGAGTCTCCCAATATTACGTCTGTCAGCCACAATTCGGTCAAGATCAAGTTCAGCGGGTTTGAAGCCAGCCACGGACCCATCAAAGCCTATGCTGTCATCCTCACCACGGGGGAAGGTAAAGGGGTCGTTGTGGGGTGAACAGCCAGTGAGTGACGCCCTGACCAGGCCCCATTTCTGTGCCCACTGAGGCACATGAGAGATACAAATGCATTGTAGCCCATGCTTGGCACTCAGATGGGGGGGGAGGGGTCGGCTGTGTGCCTGATGATGTAGGTCAGGGGTTGTCAAACTCGCTGTAAAGGGCCAGACAGCATATATTTGAAACTTTGCAGGCCTTACCTCTCTGTCACAGCTGTTCAGCTCTGCTCCTGTGAAAGCAGGCATAGAAGATACAGAAAGAATGAGTGGGTTGTTCTAGTAAAATGCCATTGACCAGAACGGGCTGCGGGCGGATTTGGTGCATGGACTGTAACTTGCCGGCCTCCGATCTAGGTTTTTCATCTCTTTTACAACACAGGGTCTTATCTTTTGGGTGGCAGAAGGTGTCTTAAGCAACTTTCTCGGTCTCTCTGTCCGCCCCCCCCCCCCATGCAAATGCACAAGCACAAATCATCAGCACAGCATGACTTGCTCTTGAAAGCGGACACAGTGATTTGCATTTGTAGTGGGAACTTGCAAAGAGCATCGCATAGCTGAGCGAGGAGGTGGAGGAAGGCTGCTTTTCCTTAAATGCCCCAGTACATTCTCTGGAAATAAGAAAGGAACGATGCTGGGGTGTCTGCTAGCTGCGTGGGGGTGCTTTGCACAAAGCCTGGATTGAAAATGCCAAGTTGTGTTGTTTTTTGGTGGTTCTTTGTGTGTTTTTTTAAAATGTACTTTTATTGATTTCAGAGAGAGAGGTAGAGAGATAGAAACACCAATGATGAGAGAGAATCGTTGACTGGCTGCCTCCTGCATGCCTCACCCTGGGAACTGAGCCCGCAACCCGGGCATGCGTCCTAATTGGGAATGGAATTCCTGGTTCATGAGTCGACACTCAGCCATTGAGCCACACCAGCCAAGCCATGGTTTTGATGGTTCTTTAAATGTGAAGACTGCAGCGCAGCTCCTGTGATTTCAACCTGTGATACTGTCCTCATGTCGAGGGAGGTGGAGCGCAAACACACCACTAGGTGTGTGATCCTGCAAGACAAAGAGCTGGCTGCTGTCATAAACCTGCAGCAGAATCTCCAGCTGTGAC